CTGCAGGTGTCACCTGCTGCCAGGTGGGTCTCTCCCTTCTCTGATTTTTTTTTTTAATTTAAAGACTTTATTTACTTATTCATGAGAGACACAGAGACAGAGGCAGAGATGCAGGCAGAGGGAGAAGCAGGCTCCATACAGGGAGCCCGACGTGGGACTCGATCCTGGGTCTCCAGGATCACACCCTGGGCTGAAGGCAGCGCTAAACCTCTGAGCCACTCGGGCTGCCCCTTCTCTGATTTCTTGTTTCATTTACTGTTTGCATCAGTTTTCTTGGTTCCAAATCGTGGGGGCAAGTACGTCTTCAGGTTGTCTCTTGGGTCTGTATCTTGTCCTTTTGTCCTTTTTTTTTTTTTTTTTTGGTATCTTGTCCTTATTGGCTTTACCCTCTGTCCCTCTAGAGCAGACCAAAGTCACGCTCCTCTCTGGGCTCCCCACCGGCCAGCAGAGCCCAGTGGGAACACGGGACGAGCTCTGGACTCGCGCCTCCAGGCCTGGGTCCAAATCCTAGGTCTGGTACTTACGAGCTATGTGATTTAGGGCATCTTGTCTCTTGCAGCTGAAAAATGTATAACTTAGCTTCTTCAACAAAAGGTTGCTTCTTTCAAATGGGTTTGTCCATTGACTAATATTTATTGAGCATCTACTATGTGCCAGGCCTCTGCTTTTTGACACATACAAGCTCATCTTTTTTTCTTTTTTTAAGTTCATTTTATTTATTTATTCACGAGAGACACACAGAGAGAGGCAGAGACACAGGCAGAGGGAGAAACAGGCTCCCTGTGGGGAGCCCGATGCGGGACTCGATCCCCAGACCCTAAGTTCACGACCTGAGCCGAAGGCAGACGCTCAACCACTTAGCCCCCCAGGTGCCCACATACATACAAGCTCATCTAATACTATTTCAACCTCATCTCTGGAGCCCCGAATCTTAGCCTAGAGTCCATGGGGATTACCTAAATGAAGATCGTAAATGAATCTGCATGATGTTTGATGCACAGCAGACGCCCAGCCAGTCGGACTACTAGGTCCTCAATACGTTGAGTGTGACTGACTCACTCACAGACGGTGCTGAAGATACAGCAGTGAGCAGGATGGGGTCCCTGTCCTCATGGAACATCCAGTTCAGCCCAGCAAAGGATGAGATGGACATTAATACCTAGTGACAATTGTCTTTAGGAGTATTTCTAGAGCGTGTAAGAGGACGGCCTGTACTGTGAGGGGTACAGTGTTGGCGGAGACTTCTCTGAAGAAGATGAGGAGCTCGGATCTGAAGTATTACTTATAAACTTCAGGAAAGAAAGGGAAATGGGCTAAGAGGTGGAGACCGTGGGCCTTCCAGGCGGTGGAAACAGCAGGTGCAAAGATCCTGAGGCAGGAAAGCACAGAGCAGTCTCCGGGAACTTGAGCTTAGCTTGGTGATCAGTGAGGAGAGAGGGGCCAGGCGAGGCTGAAGGCGGGCGTTTCTAGAGCAGAGCCTGGCTGCCATGCTGAGGAATTTGGACTTGATGCCAGAGAGGGGGCCACCAGAGTCTCAGGCCGGGCGGGGGGAGGTGACGCGGTTAGCTTTGCACTTCGAAAGCTCACTCTGGGAGCTGTATGAGGAACGGATAAAAGGGTGAGAGTGGATTCAGGAGAGCAGAACGGAGTGAAAGAGACACCAGTGCCTGAGACACTGCCCATAAACCCTCCGAAGGGTCTGGGAGTTTAAGACCTGCCTTCGGGGCGTCACCTTCAGCCCAGGGCGTGATCCTGGAGACCCGGGATCGAGTCCTGCATCGGGCTCCCTGCGTGGAGCCTGCTTCTCCCTCTGCCTGTGTCTCTGCCTCTCTCTCTCTCTCTCTCTCTCTCTTTCTGTCTCTATGAATAAATAAATAAAATCTTAAAAAAAAAAACACCTGCTTTCAGGGTCTTGAGTGAGCACCCTCACCTTCCTGAAGCACATTTGTCCCAACCATCACCTCTTGCCTCATCCCTACTCTTCCTGGACAGCCTGGTTTAGGGTAGGGGGAAAAACCCAACCAAGAACTGCCAGCACCACCCCATTCTGTTCCGAAGTGTGGGCTAAGCCACAAACTGGTTTGAACCTGTCAGTTCAGAGCTGCTGCAAGGCCAAGACCCTGTGGCCTGGCTCAGGGCCCAACGCATTCCTGCGCCCACACTCACCCTGCGGAGGCCAGGGCAGGGCCAGGGCCCTGCTCCCCCCCTTCCTTTCCCGATGGCTGCCAAGGACTCAGCCTCCGCTTACCTAACCTGAGCCCAGGGCAGGGCCCCATCTCTCCTGGGGGCTGGGCGGCTCTGGAGGCGGGTTAACAGGGAGGTTCCCGGTTGGGGAGGTAGAAATAGGAACAAGGTTCTGGTCCCCGTGGTTCTGCCCACTAAGCACCCACGGTCTGTGCTTCAGGCTTAGTCCCGGCTCCCAGGCCTCAGGCCCAGGTGGTTCTCCCAAGGCCCCATGTTCAATGTTCTCCTGCTCTGCGGGGAGAAATCGGAGTGACCTTTGGCGGGGTCAGGGGAACTGTGATTTTAGACCTCCGCTCTCTGTCTCCAACCCGGGCAAGTAGCCACGACTTCTCTGGGCTTGGGTTTCTTCAACCGTGAAATGAGGGGCCGATCACTTGGGCTGAGAAAGAAGACCGATGTAAGGGACTCAAGAGCAATCCAATCCAATTCCGATCAAAAATACAACACCAGCAAAACAAAAACAGAAACAAAAACAAAAACAAAAACAAAAACAAAAAACAACACCAGCTTAAAAAATATCAATAACGTCAGTAACGACAATCAGAACAATGACCTTTCGTGCCCAGGGACTCATCGACGGCCATCAAAGCCCCGAGGACCCCTCCACTAGATCTCCAGAAGCAGTGACGTTTCCCACCCCCGTTTCCCTCCCGGCCCTGGCCCTAACCCTAACGCGGTCCAGGCTGGGACAGAGGCTCAGGCCCTCTCAGTTATGCTGCCCTGAGTAGGGAAGCTTCCTCAGGCCTTGGCCTTGAGGGCGACACCTCCTACCTCTCCGCTAAGCCTCTTAGGGAAGCTCCCTCTGACTGCGTGGGTACTTCGGAGGGGAGGGGTAGAGATAGTCACCAGCTCAGAAAGGGCAGCTGCAGGTGCCCCAGGCAGGCCTGAAATAGACACAGGACCCAGAAGATTCCTGGAAGGAGTCAGTGCCAGAGACCTGGCAAGACGAGAGTCCTAAGCCAACCAGAGGACAAATACAAAGTAGCGAGGGTGACTTCCAAGTCCCAGTCTTTCATCCACCCTAGGGCATCCCTCTTCCCCAAGACTTTCAAGAGGTTTTCCATGTCTGACCCCTCTGGGGGCTCTGACATGGTTAAAAAGTTCATGCATTTCAGCCAAAGGAATGAATCTCTAAGAACACACATACCAGTACCTAATCATCCAAGACCACCCAGGCACAAAGCTGCCAACGGACAAAATCACATTTATTGACTCAATGCAGCGAGGGAGAGTATTTCAGAGGAACTTAGAGTGAAGCTCAGCAAGAGGGAAGAGGAGAGGCATCTTTTGTAAGGTTTGGGCTCCTGCTGAGTCATTTTGAGGAAGGTCTCAAGGAAGTGAGGTTCAGCTCTGAACTGATGGCTGTTTTCAATGCAGGATTAGGATACTGGAAGTGATTTAGGGATTGGAGGAGTTGAGGGCCCTTGAGCAACCGGGTCTTCCAGCAAAGCAAGTCTGGGAGCATCACGAGTAAGAGAATAGTGGTCCCTCACAAGGGGAGGGGGGCTCTATTCATGACATTTCACGTCTTCTGCCGGACTTTGGGAGAAGCAACGTTTCTTGTTACTTTTGCAGCTAGGTTTGTTTTTTGTTTTTCTGTTTGTTTGTTTTTATCTGTATCTGTCTGGCCAACCCGACTAAGGGCAAAGCTGTTTTTTATTTTTCATTCCGAGCAGATTTTCACTCTTTCAGTTTAGGACACAGATTTTACTCTTTCACCTACCACCATTGAGTATAGGGCCTTCAGGTTGGGTGGCTATCTGCCCATCTGTCTACTTTCTATCTATCGATCGATCAATCGATCGATCTACCTTCCTGTCTATCATCATCTATCTAATGTCACAGGATGATTCAGGACTGTGCTTCTGGAGTCAGGCTGTCTGTGTTTATATCCTGGTTCCACTATTTGCTTAGCCCTGAGATCTTTGGCAGTGATTTATTGTCTCCATCTCCCAGTTTTCTCATCTGTAAAGTAGGAAAAAAATTAGAGCGCTTGCCTCGTAGGGTTGTTGTGAAGATTAACAAAATAATACAGGTGAAATTCTTAGACCAGTGATTGGCCTGTAGTTAGGGCTCAATAAACATGAGTGTTTTTGCTTCTTATTTTTATTTTATTTTATTTATTTATTTTTCTTATTTTTATTTTAAAAGTAACCTAATTTCTGGTTAAAGGTGACAGGTTTACTCTACATGTTTTCTCCTCTCCCTTCAAAGATCCCTGCAAATAATAAGAAGGAATCAGATGTATGAACTCTGAGCAGTGAAGATGAATCAGGAAAGGGTCAAGGTCTAGGTAGGAAAACAAAACAAAAAAAAGGTCTAGGTAGGGTGAGAGAGGAGGGCCCTGACTCTGGGGACAAGGCTCACCCAGGGGGCTACAGTGACCAGGCTCATAGTAACCCCAAATGTGGAGACATGCTGAGGGCAGACAAATCCAGAAATAGGGGAACAAACCAGACCACCTGGCCCTAAATGTTAGGGAGTATTTTATTTTTTTATTTTTGGCAACTACGTTGTAATCACAGAAAACGACCAGAGCTCAAAGAAGTTAAGTCATTAAGGATGTTATCAATAGTCCTTGCTCAAACCAACACGGCCCAAGAATTTCAAGGCCACAAGCTTTCCAGACAGTTCTCGATAAAAGACTGCCAGTAAAAGCCCCCAGTGGCAACTCATTTGGGACCCCTCTCACTCTAGAGAGATTTCTTCTCTCCTTCCCTTAATAAGACTTCACTTCACCCTTTCGTGTCCTCCAGATTCATTCTTTGGCTCCTGGAGACAAGAACCCTGCAACCCTGTAATGCAGAGACCAACAGAGAGGTCATCAGAAGATGGGAGACGCCAACAGGTATTTGGAAGCAATGAAGAGATGAAGGAGTGAAAGTTGATGAAGCAGAGACCAGGAACAGGGTTGGGGGAGTGGGGAGGTTGCGTATGGCGGGAAAATAAAGTAGAGGAAGGGCTTTCGTGCTCTGCAAAATAAAGAAGAGGACGTGGGCCTAGCAAATGCCAAGGGGAATGAAGCCAGGAGTGAGATCTGGGTTGGACAGCGGGGCTTTGCTGAAATCCGCTATACACAGAGAATGCTACCAAAGCTCCAAATGCGCAGGAGCCACGCACCAACCTCCCCGGGGCCATAGAACAACCAATCACCACAAATAAAATTCCCAAACAAAACCCAGCGTAGGGCTTTTTCTCTTGAGACACTGAATGGTTCCAGAGAAAAGATACTCCCCAAATGGCATTTAGGCGTCAGGGTATCTGCTGGTTCACACCCGACCCGCGTGAAGCAAAGCACATACGTGTACATGGGACTCCCTACCTGATGTTTTATTTTTTTTTTCCTACCTGATGTTTTAAAATATGAGTAGACAACCAAGGAGAGATAACCAGATCTTAGGGGAGCCTTTACTGAGAAAGGGAAAGAGAGAGAGAAACGATGGTAAACAAATGGATAATTTAAAGAAGGGAATTTTGGGGACGCCCGGGTGGCTCAGCGGTTGAGCCTCTGCCTTCGGCTCAGAGCGCGATCCTGGGGTCCTGGGATCGAGTCCCACATGGGACTCCCTGTGGGGAGCCTGCTTCTCCCTCTGCCTGTGTCCCTCTGCCCCACTTGTGCTTTCTCTCTTTCTCTTCTCTCTCAAATAAATAACTAAAATCTTAAAAAAAAAAAAAAAAAAAAAAAAAAAAAAAAAAGAAGAGGAAGAAGAAGAAGTCACTCTCCATCCTCTCCTCTCCCTGTCCCTGGAAATCGTAGATCCACTTTCTGTGTCTGTGGACTTGCCAATGCTGTACGTTTCCTGTAAATGGGATCATATAACGTGTAATCTTTTGTGACTGGCTCCTTTCACGTAGCGTAACATTTTCAAGGCTCGTCCATCCGTACAGCACCACGTCTCGGTGCTTCCTTCTTTCGTTGTGTGGATATGCTACATTTTTGTTCACCCATCCATTGCTGATGGGCGATTTTGGTTGTTTCCACTTTTGAACTATTATGAATAATGCTGCTGTGAACATTCATGCAGTTGGTGGGGGGGGCTTTTTGTTCATTTGTTTTGTTTGTATTTTGGGGTTTGGTTTTTTTTTAAATTTTTGTTTTTTTGTTTTCTGTTTTTTTGTTTTTGATTTTGTATTTGCATGGATCTATGTTTCTATTTTCTTTGAGAACACTAGTAGTGGAAGTGCTGGGTCATATGGTTAAGGTTATGCTTGACTATTTGAGGAACTGCCCTACTCTTTTCCAAGGTGGCTACACCGTTTTACATTTCTGCCAGCAATGCCTGATGGTTAAGATGATGTTTTGAGATGCATTCATGACCCCTGTGACTATATAGTTCATCCACTTTATGGCCACACCACACTTGATGCATTCTATGGTTGAGGGTCATTTGGGTTATTTCCAGTTTTATGCTGTTATATGCAACACTCTCATGAACGCTTTCCTACAGGTCATCTGGTGCACATGTGTAAGAACTTCGGAGTCTGTGCCCAGCAGTGGAATTGCTGGGTCATAAGGTATGCACATTTTCAATCTTATTAGATAATTCTGAATTGTTTTCCAGTCTCATTGTAATAAGCATTTCACCCACAGTTTTTAAGAGTTTCTGTTTCTCCATCATCTCCAACTCTTGACATCAGATTTTTAAAATCTTGGCTAACCTGTTGAGTATGCAATGTTCTTTCATTGTGGTTTCTTAATTGGCATTTTCCTGATTACTCATCTTACTGAGCACCTTTTTGTGTGTTTGGGGCCCCTTCCAGGTCTCTTCTCCAGTGAAAAGTGAGACGTCTTTTTTTTTGGTGCTCCTCTTGATTTATTTTTATTTTTCTTATGATTTGTGGGTGTTTTTCCTAAATTCTGCATGCACATTCCTTTGTCACACTTTGTGTTGCAGTTGTATTCTCTGACCTGGTGGCTTTTCTTCTCTTTCTCTTTACCTCCATAAACAGTATCAAAGTATATATAGTATGTTAATGTATTTAAATGTATCCACTTCCCCTTTGGTTTGTGATTTATGTAGTTATAAAATAAAACCCTTCTTTCCCTTGAAATCATGATTCTCTTCCACTATAGTTCTTTTAAATGTTTTTTTCTTTTATATTCAAATTTTTAATCCACCTGGAATTTATTTTTGCATATGGTATAAGGAGGGACTTGATTTGCTTTTCCCCATGTAAGTAAATAATCAGCAATACCACGCCTTTCATGTATCAAGTTTTTATCTATTTGTGGGACGGTTTCTGGCATCTCTTATTCTTCTCCACTGATCTGTTTGTCTATCCTCTCCGAATATGACATTTGTGATTACTCCAGTTTTATAATAAATCACAATACCAGAGACAGCATGCTGTCCTACCCTGATCACCAATCCTATTTCAGGGAGGGTTTAATATTCTTGCCCCTTTGCTCTTGCAAACAGACTTCAGAGTAAGTTGGTCACATTCCACAGAAAGCCATGTTATAATTTTTACTGGAATTTCTTTGATTCTACATATAGATCAAGATGGGGAAAATGTACATATTTACAAATTTGACCTTTCTTTCCCACAAACATATATGTCTATTTCTTTAAGCCTTCTCCAATATCTTTCAAAAAAGTCATATTCTTTTCTATATTTTCTAAAGACTTGCACATCTTGGAGATCTCTGGGTGGCTCAGCAGTTTAGGGCCTGCCTTCGGCCCAGGGCGTGATCCTGGAGTCCCGGGATCAAGTCCCACATCAGTCTCCCTGCAGGGAGCCTGCTTCTCCCTCTGCCTGTGTCTCTGCCTCTCTCTCTGTGTCTCTCATGAATAAATAAAATCTTAAAAAAAAAAAAGACTTGCACATCTTTAGAGTCTTACATTTTTTTCTTTTTTTCTGCTTTTGTAAATGAAAATTTGAGATCATATTTTTCTGTTTAAATTCAAGATTTTATTTGTTTATTTGAGGAAAGAGCATGAGAGAGAAAGAGCTCAAGTGGGAGGGAGGGGCTGCAGGAGAGGGAGAACCGACTCCCTGCTGAGCAGGGAGCCCAATGCTGGGCTTAATCCCAGGACCCTGAGATCCTGACCTGAGCCAAAGGCAAACACTTAACTGCACCCCCAAATTTATTAATTTTTGTGTATTGATTTTAAACTTAGCTATTTTGCTAACCTGTCAGTAATTCTAATAATAAATCTGTAGATTATTTGGAGTTTCCCATGTTAGTATTCATATCACTGGCAAATAATGAGAATTTTGTTTCATCCTTTTTTCATTCTTATACTTTTTCTCTTTTTTTCCCCTTGCCTGGCCGAGCTGGCTCAGATCTTCCCTGCAATCTTAATTTTGTTCCTGAATTTTAAAGCACTACTTTTAATGTTTCACTAATGATTTACCATGTTAATACTGTAACTGGTTGGTTTTTTAAAATAGATTTCTTTAATCAGGTAAAGAAAATTACTGTTTCTAGTTTACTAGGAGATTGGTTTTAATTTAATTTTTAATGGATAAATGTCGAATGTCATCTCAAATTTTTTCTAGACCTATCGAGATGAATATCTCTTTAAATCTCTAATGGGATGAATTATATTAAGATATTTTCCAATATAACTTCTTGCAATCTACTTATTTGAAAAAAAAAAAGACAAAGCTAGATTATGTTTGGAATATTTAACCAAGGCTTTTAGAAAGTTTGTATTCAGGGGCGCCTGGGTGGCTCAGCAGTTGAGCATCTGCCTTTGGCTCAGGTCCTCATCCCAGGGTCCTGGGACTGAGTCCTGCATCCGACTCCACACAGGGAACCTGCTTCTCCTTCTGCCTGTGTCTCTGCCTCTCTCTGTGTCTCCCAAGAATAAATAAATAAAATCTTTTTTTTTAAGTTTGTATTCATAAATATGAATACAATAAATATGACTGATCTTTTTTACTTTCTCATACTTTTTCTGTATAGTGTGGGGATCCAGCTTCCATTAATCTCATAAAATAAATTTGGGGCGATTGCCTCTCCCATTATCCTCTTTTAAAGAGTTTGAATACATCTGGATTATCTATCTCTATCTCTTGAATATATGTCAGAACTCACCTTTATAATTGCCTGGGCCCAACATGTTCCTTAGGATTCAATTTCTTTCGCAGTTATGAATATGTTAGAGGCAGTTGCTACCAGTTGCATTTTTCATGCAGAGGCAGTTGTTACCAGTTATGTTTTTCTGGGAGTTTGTCCATTACGCCAAAGAATACAAGTTTATTGACTTCAAATTATTTATAACATTCCTCTATTATCTTTAATCTTGTTACTCTTTTCTCATTCCTGGTATTGTGAGTGCCTCTGTTTTCCTTACTTGCATCATCTTTCCAGAGCTTTGCTAATTACTTTGCTCTTGCTGTCTCTATTTTTTTTAATATTTCTATATCAAGTTTTGTTCTTGTCTTCCATTTTCCCCTCTTCACCTTTACTGGGTTTTCTTCTGTGGTTCTTTTTCAAATATCTCTAGTTGGATACTTACTCCAGTTTACTTATTTAGTGTTCAACCATTCTTCTTTTCTAATACAATTGAAGTTTATAAATTTCCCTCAAATGTTAAATTAGTTTTGAAATTTAGTGGGTTTTTTTTATCACTTATATTGACATTTTTTTCTATTTCATCTTATTTCTATTTTAACATTTCTAGTATTTAAGAGATCTGTTTTCAAATTTCCAAATACGTGGCTCTAAAAATATGGTATATGGCATATTTTCGTTGCTGAATTTTAACATGATTCTTTTGTGATCAGATGAGAAGATCTGTTTGATAGTAACTCTTTGAAATTCGTTGAAAAATTGATTTATGATTTACCATGGTGGTCAATTCTTGAAAATTTTTTGAAGTCTGCATTTTAAAAGAGTATGTTTTCTTTCATTAGTAGGTATTATATTTAATATATGTCCATTAGATCAACCTTGTTATCTTATTCATAATGATATTTTTAGAAATGCAAAGACTGGAAAAATTTACCTATCTAATTTCCTTTGTTAGTAAATGATTAGCAATATGCTTGAGCAAATAAAGGAGTCAGCTAAGACAGAGAAAAACAAGGGACCCAGGAAACTGTCTCAGGCTCTGTCTCTCTCAGGAATGCAGTGACACCCCAGGATGCCGGCTATGCAGCAGGTTCAGGAGCTCCAGGAGGAAGTTTCTGCAAGCACAGGCTTGACCCCCTCCCCCATTCCAAGCAAAGAATTGAGAAATTGTAAATATTTTGGATGGCAATTTTTCAATATGCGTCAAAATCTCTAAAAGTTTCATTTCGTAAAATCATGGGAAGGTGTACAAAGATGATCGAATAAGGATGTTCACTGAATCGTTATTTATGTTAAAAAAGTGATTATTAACAAATAAAGGATTGGTTGATGAACTTATAGTCTCTGTATATGATGTAATGCTCTGTAACCATCTGAAACGATGTTACAAAAGATGAAATGTCATCAGTAAATAAGTCTGGGTACACTAGCAAACGGAAAAATATGACTTGGGAAAAAAGTGTTTTCAGAAGAGTTTACTTTTGTGGGACAATACCAGGAGAGATAAGCATTCGGATATTAAAATTGAGTATCGTTATATGGTGGAGTTATAGGTAAATTTTAATTTTCTTCTTTAGCTCCCTGTATTTTTTAAATATAAAACTATAACTATGAAACTGTATTACAACTTTTACAATAAAATTCTTTTTTTAAAGATTATTTATTTATTTATTTATTTATTTATTTACTTACTTACTTACTTACTTATTTTTTCATGAGAGACACAGAAAAAGAGAGAGAGAGAGAGCCAGAGACCCGGGCATAGGGAGAAGCAGGTTCCATGCAAGGAGCCCGATGTGGGACTCGATCCAGGATCCTGGGATTACACGCTGAGCCAAAGGCAGATGCTCAACCAATGAGCCACGCAGGCATCTCAAAAAAATTTTTTTAATCCATTTTTAAAACAGTAAATAGTTTGTTTCTGTCCCTTCAGCACAATTGTCTTTGGGAATTGATTTTGATGAGTCGAGCCTGTTGGGAGCGGTCCTGGGGGCTCTCTTGCTGTAGATGGGGAACAGGAACAGGGAAAATAGACCAGCTAGGACAGAACAAAAGGCATTCCACACTGATGAAGTTTTGGATATAGGTGAGGTCCGGAGCCAACCACCAAGAAAAAATTCTTGAGACTTCTTTGGTGCAAAATGGTGGTTTTAGTAAAGCCCAGGGACAGGACCCGTGGGCAGGAAGAGCTGCTGCCCCAGGCCTATGAGGGTGGCTGATTGTAGACCTGGTAGCTGGGAGGGGTCTGGGGATAGCGTACTCGCTAAGGAATTTTGGAAGCAAGGTTTCCAGGACCTCGAGGGGGCTAGCTATGGTTGGGAAAAGGTCACTTATTACTGTTTAATAAAACCCGAGTCTTGAGGCCCTTCAGATGTGCATTGGTGGGCCGTGTGCTGGGGGATTATTGCCAACATGTATCTTGGGGGTTTAGAGATAGTGAATTTTTCTAAAGGAATTTTTATATGTTAAAGTAGACTTACAGGCTCCTGGGGGCTGGGCTAAGATTGCCTTCTGCCCTTAGCAAAGTATGAACATCAAGGCAGTTGAGTCCATAGAGGAATGTCCCTCTGCCTGTTTCAGGGACTTGTCCATGTGCTACTGGGCTCATGCTTTGTCCTCAGCTAGTCCTCTGTTCCCCCATCAACATCACACTAGGAAGCGTGGGGACCAGACAAGTTTCTACAGCCAGTGCTCTCTTGACACACAGTACACCTGCCCCTCGGGGGGCCCCAGTCAGCAAACACTGGTTCTGTGCCATGAAGGAGGAGAGAGAGGTGTGTGTTTGAAACGCACAGAAAAGGGCTGATAAAAAGAGGGGGGAGAAAAAGTGAAACAACTACAAAGATGTGCAGTAATAAATTCAAAATACTATAGGATTGCTTTGATATACTGGCTGAATCATGTAAATGATAGTGGTACAGAGTAAATAATCCGAGTTCTGAGAATTTATTGAGAGAAGCTAAGTGAAATGCATGGAACACGGGCTGGTTCTAACCAAAAAAAGAAAATCTTTTTAAAGAGTGTGTCATGCTCACTATGCCTGTTAGTTTCTCATTAAGTGTTTGTGGAAGGAAAGAAAGTAGAAAAGGAGGATGAAGTGGGAGAGAAGGAGGGAGGGATGAAAATAGAAGAGACATTTCAGGAGGAAGATGTGGCTAAGCCAGTGGTTCTCAAAGCATGGTCCTTGGGCGCCTGAGTGGCTTTTCTTTAAGCATCTAACTCCTGGTTTCTGCTCAGGTCATGACCTCAGGGTTGTGAGATGGAGTCCACATTGGGTTGAGCGCGCATCCTGCTTAAGCTTCTCTCTCTCCCTTGCCCTCTGCCCCTCCCCCTGCTTGCATGAACTCTCCTCTCTCTCTCTGTCTCTAAAAAAAAAAAAAAAAAAAAAAAAAGTGTGGTCCCTAGACCACCACCATTAACACCAACTGGGAACTTGTTAAAAATGTAAATTCTCAGGCCCGGGCCCAGCTCTGTGGTACTGAATCAGAAACCCTTGGGTGGGGCACAGCAATATGTGTTTTAACAAGCCTTCCAGGTGATTCTGATGTAGCGAAAGTTTGAGAACTACTGGGCTAGGCAAAATCTTTGAAGCTGGCATGAGCAGGCTGCAGGTAAGGAGATTCACTTTGCTAGAGCAAAGAAGTCAAATAAGGGTTTGTTGGGAGACCAGCTGGAAAATATACAGGAACTCCGTATTATTGGAGGTAAAATAGATTTTTTTTTTCACAAACAACATGGCTGGTATTTATGTACAAAGATTACAAAGGAAATGTGTTAAAGAAAAAGAATCACCCATCCTCTCTCCTCACCAGCATATCAATTAGCTTAATATTTTTCCTGTTCCTTTATAATGTGTGTAGATACGCATAGATAATGTTTACGCAATGGTAAGGAAGTCATACATGCAATTTTGGGGATGTGTTTGCTAGTTTTAGTATTTTGTAGTGGACCGGTGTTTTGATACATTAAGCAATGAGTTTAAACTTTACTGTGGTTTATGCTGTTGTATTTTATATCTTTGCTCTTCCTAGCCTGTCTCTGGGAGGTTGTTAGAGCAGAAACAAATAATAAAATGACCAATCACTGGGTTTAAGATTTCAAAAGTTGAGATCCAGGCCAAAGACAAGAGCATTTGCAAGTATCTACACAGCCACCATCAGTTTTTCTCACCTGAGAGACTTGACGAAGTACTAGGGTTAGGGGGCTAGGGCAGGGCTGCAAAGAATCAGAAGGAACATGCATGTCTTGGGCCCATTCCCCACACCATCTGCTCCTTCAGGACCTCGTGGATGGGAGCTGAACCACCTTCCTGAAAAGAGCCTGGAGAAGTGGTGAGTGTGGCAGGGATCCTTCCACGTAGCACCACGTGAAAACAGCAGTGGCTGCATGACCCACATCAGGCATGAGGACCCAACACGACTTCTCCAAGCTCCTCGCAGATCCAGAGTCATTTGATGAAACAGACTGAATATGGCTAAGACAGAGGCTGACCTGAGGAACCTCTCTGAATTAGGGAACACAGAAAAACCCAAATCCTGCATGGATCCATGACCAAAGAAGCAGAAGTCGGTGACTATCCCAGTGGGTGCCAAGAAAGGGCAGGTGATGACAAAGTACCAGGCACAACTACAAGGGAAAAGTAAGCAGTTGGGAGGAAGGGGGGGGCGATAGACATAATTGCCTAATACGTTCCTAAGAGTCCCCAAAATGTTGCCAACCAGGAACGAAGCACTTCATGTGATGCAGACTTGAAGAGGGACGTAAGTCTTCTGTAGAAAAGTAAAGAAAGTCAGTATTTGGCACACCTGAGTACGTCCTTAATGATGTACGCTTTTTTTTTCATGTCTTATAACACTGGATAGTAAATTAATGGACTATATCCTCATCAAGTGACTATACTGTATTTTATTGAAAATTAGGATTGTTTCCATTTTTAACATGATACTGAAGAAACCTCCCCCCTTGTAAGTAGGGCTAGCCCTAATCCAGAGGCAGCCCATCCAGTCTTCTTCCTGAAATTTTAGCAACTAAAAGCATTCTGTTTACAATAAGAAAACCGTTCCCCCCCCCACACCCTGATTGGAATGTCCCTGAATAGGTTCATGTTGACCCTCCCCAAAATCAACTCCCGCGGTTCTTTTGTCTTTAGGGAGTTTCTTTCCTTTTGCCTTTTAAAAGATACCTGTAATTGCTAATCGGGGCTCTTTTCCTCCTCGGAGGCGGAGAGCCCGTTTGCGCAAACGTTCAATAAACCCTCTTGCTAATTGCATCTGCCTGTCTGGGGTCTGAGTCTCTGGGGCGTCCACCGGGCCACGTTGGCACCCGTGAGCCAGGGTCCAACAATACAAATATGGCACAATGGTTATTCTGCACCATTCATTTGCCACCTACAATGTGCCAGACTCTGGTACTCGGAGGTGAGAGGAACACAGTCTCCTTAGTGTCTGATGGGAGAGTCCGACGTGTAAAATGGTCATCCAGCGCAACATGAACGGCATTATAAAAATCGCGTATAACTTGAATCTTCTTTTAAATTATTTCCTTAGAAATGAGACTCCAATATTGACAAGTTGCTTTCCGAAAGGCATCAATTTACACTACACAGAAGCAATGCTGGTTTCTGTTATATGCCAAATTCCCTGACATGTTCTAGAGATGTTTTGCAGGTTTTGTTTGCCTTTCTATTTATTTACATTGCTGTGGGGGGCGGGGCTGATTTTTAAAAGTCTTTTAATTTCTCTTTTCTTATTTTAGTTCTTCCATGACTTTAAAGCTTTGAAAAGTACTCCTTCAGAGACATGATAAGTACTCATTTCTATTTTCTGTTAGTTTTAAAACATGATTTGATTTTTCTTCAGTTGTTCAGTTAATCCACCTGGAATGTATTTCAACCATTAATCAGAACAATTGACTTTCTAATTGCTAGCTTAGACTATCATTCCTGTACTTCTTATTTGAAGATGTTTATCAAATGCAAAATTCTTACTGCACTGGGATAATATTTTTTGAGATATTATGCCTGGTACTGCCTAGACTCTGATTAGCCTGTGGCTCTTATATATTGGATTAATGGCATCCACAGCTTCATGGAAGGGGAGGGAAGAACCATCAGGAGTAGGGGAGCTACTGTTTGGTGTTCCAGGCTATGTTGAGAAAGTAAAAAAAAAAAAAAAAATTAAAAAACAAAAATGCTGGAGGAGTTTCAGATAGCCTGAGCTTAGAGAGCTGATCAGGGAGCCTATCACAGATCAGAGAGGAACATGGAATAAGATGGTAGTGAAGTTCCCACCACAGAGGAAGGGCAAAGGTCCCCCTGGTGCTGAGAGTGGATTCCGGGTATTAAGAGGGGGGAGAGAGGGTGAAGGGTCACCTGAAATACTTGACTCCCTTCCTTACCCCAGGATGAAACATTGATAAAAGGTGGGGCTGGCAGGAGGTAAGGAGATAAAATCACAATCAGATCAACTTGGAGAATCTGAGAATTTTAGGGGCTGGCATTCTGTACAAGCTGGGGAAACTGGGGAAACTACAGGCCTTGCAGAGAAAGGCTTTACTGGTGAGATGCCAGACTGACATGATGCAAGATGGCAGACGTAGCAGGGACTGGGCCAGGTGCCAAGACCCCTACCCCCACAGCAGAGAACACAATATACAGTTTT